GATACATGTTTCTGGTGTTTTAGGCAGGCTGAGGCCTGAACCCTCTTACTGCAGAGTTTGCACGGACAGCGACAACAGAACACAGAGAAACCATAAGGGGCTAAAAGTAACTGCAGACATGCGCAGTCGGGGTGAGTTGTGAACAACAAGATGCACAAAGCACCCAACTGCTGTCTCTGAGGTGTTGGGAGCAAAACGGGGGGGATGGGCAGATCACCCAAGTTCCCACCCCCCCCTTCCAGTCCAGTCCTGGTGAGCAAAAACAGGAGAAAAACCCTTTAAATTATTATAGAGTTAAGCAGTTACAGATACCATATGGTCACCGATGACAACAGGGCCCTGCTTGGTTACAATACCAGAAGTCTGCAATTGTCACAGAGCTACTGATAAATGTTTACAGCTTGTCAATGATCCTGGCTTTTAAATGGCATTTTGTAGATCAGGTCAAGTGATAATCCTCAGGGGACAATTCCTTTCTAATATATCGATTGACCCTAGTCTCTGCGTGCATCTTCTTAACTTACTTTCTTTTCTTTCCAAAGAGAATTCCACCTTGCCTTCCCTTGCATAAGCCGCCAGATGTTGTCCATGTTGAGCAGTGCTCTGACCAGCTGGATTTCAATTAGTGATCAAGCCATCAGTTGGTGGTGGAAACTGAAAACTGCCGCCCAAGGTGACCAAGGAGAAAGCAGTAGAGTGGAAAGGTAATTGATGGGAGGCCAGACGGAATAATGAAGATGTAAAAGAGGAAAAAGAGGCTGGGAAATTGCTTAGGGCAGGTGGTTTGGCTCTTTTGATGGTTCCTGCATCCTATTTTCATATTTATAAAGCTTATAAATTTTACGACTATGTGGCAATCCAAAATGACATCTGAACTCCTGGCATCAGCTCTTGTGAGACATAAGGGGGGAAATCACTAAGAATGATATGCTCTGATATTGTCACATACATTTCTCAGCAATTCTATTCCATACACGTTAGTATTAATGCTGCCATTTGCTAAAGGGAAGAAAAAATGACTCAAAATGACCGAAATGAATCAAACAATACGGAGAATTTTGTCTGCTGCTGAAACTAAGACAAAACAGGGTGAAATTGCAATTGTAATCTTCTCATAGCTACATCTTGTCTGTGAGAGCTGACGTTATTAACAGCATTTTTTTTAAAGTGGTAGACTTAAAAATTACTACCACCGAAGCCCCTCCAATCCGATCGTCACCAAGTCTTTCTGTTACTGAGTCCAGACTTGCTCTGCTCTCCGCACAACAGGCCAGTACATCTGGAGACATGGTGTTGGGGCAAGCAATAGTGACGTTATTTGGAAAGCTGGCAGACCAGGAGGCCGGCAGATTAATGTCTTGGAGAACCATCCTCCCCCAGTCAGAATATATACTCCTTTTATACAAAAAAAAAAAAAAAAAAAGCGGGGGGAGGGGTGTGGTTGGTTGTTACAAACTTCTTGGTGCAAGAATTCTTTGTTCCTGCAGCCCTCCATGTGGGTCAGCTCATGGTGCTCCTGCAAAACCTCCAGCAACAAATAACAAATGTTATTCTCTATTCTGCAACTATGTTATCTTTATGTGACTGCAGAGCTCGCAAGACTGAGCCTAGAAAACAGGGCACGGGGTTAAAGCCAAAGGAACAGATATAAAATGGAGTCAGATTTGTTCCTTTCTATTACATTTCTTCACTCTACAAAGACTTACTTAACTTTCTCAATGTCTTATTATATTGCTGCCATGCTGGGGGGAAATGGTTAACTGAATTCCTCCACTGTGGAGCAATAGATAGCCTTGGTCCAACTCACCCAGATTCAGAAGGGTTGTTTCCATTTGCTCTCAGCATTCCTAAAGCATTGTAACAAATAAAAAAGGACTACACATCTTCTATGTTCTCCAAATATCATGAGACATGCAATTGCTACTTGTGACTCCCCTAGAGCACCACTAATTCTCCTGACTGCAAAACCTTCCAGGTCTAACAGGTTCCTGCCTAGGATAACTGATAAAGGACTCTGGAACCTGTGAGAACAATGCTAAAGGGAGCAGGCATGAGAAAGGGGTGGGAGTGGCTGGAAGCCTGCAAGGGGCAGAGGCAGGGCTGGCTCCAGACTGCCGGCAATTCTGGGTATAGAATTCACTGGGATAGAGTGTTTGAAGACCAACTGTAGCAGGCTGGAGAGGTGGGAGTCTGAGAGACTGACGGAATACTCTTGGGAAGAGGGTGGGAAATGGGTGGTGAGAAGCCTCAGCTTCTATCACTTAGAGAAAGAAACGCATTGTTTTCTTTGCTGCTCTGTACTCTTGATTTGTTGGCCTCATTTTCTCAAATAGGAAATGTTTTTCAAAGGTCTGTCTTCTCCAGTGGGGAACAGTCCCCTGAGGTATGACACAGAAGTCTGAGCCCAGCAACACTTAAAAGCTGTAAGTCCGAGGCAGGTTCTTCACATTGCAGGGTGTGCGTCCTCTTCTCTGAGAGCGGTACTTTTTATTTATCTCGTGAGGTTATAGGAAATTCCTCTCTAGTCACACAGCGGTTAGACTCGGTGGCTAGGGAAGGGGTGTGGGGCTTGACATCTTCGTTACTTATGTGGAGGGAAAGAGAGATGTGGCCGTGAAGGGCCCCCACCCACCTCACGCAGAGGTGGGTGGGAAGGGGCTTGGTCTGAGAACCATCCACTTTCTCTAAGTGGCTGTAATAGGCAAGAACAAATCCGACTCCATGTTCGGCCTGTTCCTTTGGCTCTGACCCTGTGCCCTGTTTCCTGGGCTCAGTCACGCTGGTTCTGCACCTTTTGTAAAAGAATGTTGCCTGTGGCCTGAGACAGACAGGCGAGCCCATTCTCAAGGCTCTGGCCTTTAAGGGTAGAATACTTTCCTATTCATATAAAGATTGAAAGTTGCAGAATGGAAAATAACACTTGTCTTGTTTACACCTGACCCTCATGGACAGCTGCAAGAACAAAGGATTCTGACACCAAGAAGTTTGCAACAACCAGCCCACCCCTTCCCCTTTTTAATATAAAAGCTGCCTGAATTCTGACATGGGGAAGATGGTTCTCCAGGGTATTAGTCTGTCATCTTCTCGATCTGCTGGATAAAGTTGTTATTTCTTGTCCCAATACCTCGTCTCCCAATTTATTGGTCTCTTGTGCGTTAAGCAGAATGAGTTTGGACTCGGTAACATCGCCTCTTTCCTATCAGCATCTTTGATGTCAACCTTTAAAGAAGCCCAGAGTCTTACCTCACCTTCCAGTACAGCAGACACCATAGGTGAAAAATGTACAGTATTGGTGTCTCCTGGCATCCAGGACTCAAAAAGAGTGGCAGACAGCAGCTGCCTGCAGGGGCAAGTCGGGGAGGGTGCTTCCCGGACCAGAGGCTGCACATGCGGAGCAAGCTCTTTGGGTCCAGCTGAATGATCTGCGCTGGGGCCCTGCACAGGGCGCCTGCCTTGGTGCTGTCAGAATTAGGGTGTGGCCTGGGCCTCTTGCACTGGTGAGAGGCTGGGCGCTTGGCTCTCCTTCTGGCTCTATGAGCCCTTGTTCCACCTTATGCTTAAAAATTCCTATCACTCAGGGGCGTGGAGGGTGGGAGGGGATAGACTGGGATTTCAAGGCTGTAGAGTGGATAGACAGGGTTGCACTGTGTAGCACAGGGAAATATACACGAAATGTTATGATAACTCACAGAGAGAAAAATGTGACAGTGGGTGTGTGTGTGTCCATGAATGACTGAAAGATTGTGCTGAACACTGGAATTTGACACAGCATTGTAAAATGATTATAAATCAATAAAAAATTAAAAAAAAATTCCTATCACTAAAATTGTGAAAATATTCTACCAAAAAAGTTGAACTTTTGCAGAAGAATTGGTTTACTTCTTGTCCATGTGTCTAATTCTTGATACCAGTTTATGCATATTCTCTGTAAATATTCTCACTTAAAGAACTTTCAAGTATGTATATATGTTTAATTTTTAAAAATAGTGAATACAGATTTTCTACTTAGGAATTCTTTATTTTTAAAGAAAGCATTTCAGTGGTGTTTGTTGCCTTTTCTTTGTCTCGGGAGCCTTATGCATCAGTTCTACTGAGGTTTTACAGAGAATCCATATCCTGCAAACTGCCTCTGTGGTTTATGCTTCTGAATGAATAAAATATAACTAGTGGGGGTCACTGTTTTCTCAGGAAAAGTATGAAGAAACTGGAAGAAAGGTTTACTTTTTATTTAAAGAAAGTTGTGAGAAAATAAGTTGTAAGTAGAAGGCTTAACAACAAATTTAACACAACTTTCGTCTAGGGGATATGATTTGGAATTGTGGAGCTTTCCCAAGACTACCAGATCAAAGTGTATTAGAAGAATTACGGTACTTTCTGCCATATGCGATCCGTTGGCTATGTACAGCCTTGGGGTTTTGTTGACCTAGGGAAGAAACAGACAGTTAAAAAGTAAAGCAGATGCTCAGTACTTGGGCCCTTGGGGAAGCATGGGAAAGCAAGGGTGAAACGTTTTATTAGATTTGATTTTGAAAAGAACAAAACAAGAATAGGAGAAGTACCATAGGGTTAATTAAAATGAATGTCTAAGGCCCAGTGAAGAATGAGACACAAGTGGGAAAACAAGATTTAAGGCTCCTGGAGGAAAATGAAACACTGTTTTGGGGTTGGTTTGCTGCGTTTCCGGGGGGTCTGCAGTGAGGCTTACTTTGGTGTGATCTAGATCATAGAACGCAATTCCTTTTATTCCCCTCAGTAACTTCCTCTTAATATTTATGACTTTCTGCCTTGGAGCCCCCCCCACCCCCAACTGGGTTATAAGATTGGAATGTAACTGTTAATTTTAGCTCGATGTCTTTGTGAAATGCATTCGGCTATCCACACGACATTTCTCATTTCTTGCTCCTTCAGCTTTGTGTACGCATAAAACACACCGTAGTGGAACTGCCTGTTGAACGCCAGCACGTTCATCTGCACCTGAGGAAGGAAAGAAAACATGGCCCATCAACTTGCCTGGAGCACGCTACATTAGCAAGATAACACTAAGCTACAGACTGACTCGGGCTTATGGGGGGCTTATCTGTATTTAAATAGACAATGTCCAAATCGGGGAAAACAGAGGGAAACAGTAGCAAATCTAAAGGGAGAGCTGTCTGCAGGTCAAGGCAGACAACAGGAGTTTAAAAGGGAAGTTTGTAAAAGCACAAGACAAGCTCCAAATCTTAGCAGCACTGCCAGCACAGAGATCCTGGGAGGACTTCGGGCTGTGTGTGTGTGTGGTTAACTTTGTAGTAATACTTGTTTGGTTTCTCGCTAGTGGGCTTGTCTCATCTAGGTAAAGTAGTCTTCCTTGGCCTCAACTTTTAAAATTTTAAACCAGTTTTGGGGCCACTGAACTCCCTTCCAGGTCAAAGTCACGGACCTCTGGAATGTGGACTAGGTGATGTTATAAGTTCCCTTAGGATGCCCTGCAGTGACCTGACATACAGTTGAGCTGGTTTTTTCTGCAGAAGGCAGAATGGTTTAAAAAAAATTTTTAACTGGAGTATAGTCTAGAATGGAACAATTCCCTTATTCTTTTCCATTTTGAAAAAAGAGGGCGAGGAACCGAGTCCCTCACACAGTTCTGAAAACCTCAGCAAAGCAGTTAGGGAGCAGAGGCTCCCTGCTCTGGAACAGACTCGCATTTTTCCTCCCCAGGGCAGCTTCTTCAACAGCTGTCTTCGCAGCCGAAGTGCAACAGCATGGAATTGTAAAGCATCCTTCTATATAGGATAATTTGCATTGTTTTTATTTCTTTTGAAAGAGCTGTTGGAAAATGTCTAGAAAAAGACTTCCAGGAAGCCCCCCACATTGCTTTCCAGAGCCAGTCTAACCCTCAAGTTTGGGTAAACTTCAGGGTTCTCTGTTAGTTCCAGTTAGACAGAGATGGAAGGACGGGTGGTTTTAGGGAAAGGAATAGAATACACTAGAAAAAAAGTCTCCAGGTTTTGGGAACCTTAAAAAGGGGTACCCACCCTTCTTGTTGAACAGTTCAGTGGCCCAGGAATAGGCTATAAATGGATTAAATATTCTTCTGCCTTTTTAGGGAAAGAAAATAATGTAGACTGGATGGATTTCCATACAAATAATTCCTCAGTGTTATAATTGTGCCCATGAGTTATATTCTATAAGCATAGAGAAGTCATTCTTAAAGATGGGACGGATTAGAGACTGGGACGCAATGAACATAGTGTGCACCATGAGGACATGTCAAAATGTGATCATGAGAACATCTTAGCTCCATTTCACTAGTTAATGATGGAGTAGATGCATTATTTCCAGAGTTTCACTATGTGCACGACTGTCTGGATAAGACAGTCTCACAAGAATCCATCACATGTGAACCACACGGCCCTGACTCTCCAAGGCAGGGATACTGATACCCATTCAAACTATGAATGTACCTAATCAATTGGCCCGATCAACTGTAAAAAGAAAACCCAAAGTAAAAAAAAAAAAAAAAAAAAAAAAAAAATTAATACCCAGAGTAAGAGAAAAAGAATAAGCCAGGAGCATTTCCATTTATATCGTACCTCACGCTCATAAAACATGTCCTCCAGTGTCTTTGCCCCGCTGCCATCACCCACAGCCTCAAACAAAGGCTTGTATACCTTAAAAACAAAGACAAGAAATTAGCTAACAAATTTTTATTTTTTTTATAAATCTACACCATTTTCCCTAACAATGGAGAAATTATGCCTCTGCTTTAAAAAATCTATCCAGAAGGCCTGAATGCTTTTTTGTAGAATATTTAGCCTCTTGAGAAAATACAAAAAAATCCAAGCAGTAAGTGTATGGATGGATAGAATTTCATCTTGTTGGCTTAGTGAGGCCAACAAGACGAGAGGCAAATGCAGTTCTGCTCTGAATGTACAGAGCTAATCCGTGCATTTGATTCTTAGGGCTAGTTAGATACACTATAGCGGCTTAATGAGTGGCTGCGGTTTGATCAGCATGGTTTCACGGGTTCTTTGAGGTGACAACCGATAAAATTCACACGGCATTTCAAGTGAGGAAGGGGAATTGGGGAGAAACTCAAATTTCAGTGTTATGCCAAGAGCCTCCCGCAATGCCCCACGCGTTGTTTGTTGGCTTATCTTTCCTGGAGGGCTTCAGAAACCCACAGACAAAGCCAAGAAGAGTGTCCTTCCAGTTCTGGGGAAGTTACCTGGCGGGTCTGCGTGCTGCCGTCTGCAAGTCAGAAGCAGCGGTACTGGAGGATGGGATGTGTTACCCTGGGCTGAGCGGCTTCAGGTGCTCCCAGAGCAGTTAGATGCTGGAGCAGGAAAAGACACAGCGGCCCTCTTTCCTCTCCCGATGTCTGGCCGCTGAGCAAAGGGAGTGGCACAAACCAGCGCACCCAGACTCCCCCTTGTCGTTCACGCACACATCCCGCCCCAACCCTGTCTGCCCAGTGGCCACTTGAAAGGACTCTGGGTCCAGCTGCTTTACGTAACCCTGACGTGAGCTCACACTTTCAGAGCACGGCACCAGTCCCTTGGGGACTAGCTTTATCCAGCACTTCAGAAGAAGAAAAAAGAAAAAGCTCAAATGACCATTCCTTGGAGATTTAAACAAGTACTTGCTTGGCAGGGACCTTAAAAAATACCACTGACTTGGATTTGAAACTTGAACTATTTCTTTGGGAGAGATGTTACAGCAAGAGATACTGCTTTCTTTCTACCTAATAAATATTAGGTGAAGTCCACACATCATGATGGAATGACAGAAGACGGTCAAGGAACCTGGTAGCATCTAATTGCTCTTGGAGCACCTGAAGCTTCTCAGCTCAAGGTAATACATCCCATCCTCCGGTACCATGATCACATACCCCGTAATGATCCGCTACTCTCTTCATCTGCTCGAAGTCTTCTGCTTGGGCCAGCAGCCGCAGCCCCTCAGGGTAGAGCTTGCCGCAGGTCGGGTAGAGGGTCTCCCGGTCTTCTTTGCTCAACTCAGTGCCAAAGGAGTTAAGAGTGATGATAAAAGCACGTCTGTCAGCCTCAAACTGAATTTGCAAGATGTGGAATCAGTGAAATCGAACCGTCTCCTAAAAGCTCTAGACAAATTCATGTCAAAATGATTGGCTTTCTCTTCCAGATCTATGTCTCATTATAATACAGACATGTGTTATTAATGTTCCCTTTGCTTTTATTTTTAAACTTAAAATTTTTTTAATTAGAAAAATTTATTTCATTTTTTAGGAGGGAAGGTCATTAGGTTCATTAAAAAACTAAAAACAGACTTATAATGTGATCCAGAAATCCCACTCCTGGGCATATATCTAGAGAAAAATATAATTCAAAAAGACATATGTGCTCCAATGTTCACAGCAGCACTATTTACGATAGCCAAGACATAGAAGCAACCCACATATCCATCGACAGATGACTGGATAAAGAAGATGTGGTGTATACACACACACACATGCACACATGCACGTGCACACACAATGGAATACTACTCAGCCATAAAAAAGAATAAAATAATGCCATTTGTATCAACATGGATGGACCTGGAAATCAGCATTCTAAGTGAAGTAAGCCAGAAAGAGAAAGAAAAATGCCATATGATATCACTTACATGTGGGATCTATAAAAAAGGACACAAATGAACTTGTCTACAAAACAGAAACAGACTCACAGACATAGAGAACAAACCTATAGTTACCAGGGATTAAAGGGGGTGGAAAGGGATAAATTGGGAATTCGAAAATTGCACCTCTTTGGGAGTGATGGAAATGTTAACTATCTTGATTGTGGTAGTGGTTTCATTGGTGCGTACATCTATCAAAATCCATCAAAGTGTTCATCTGAAATATGTATAATTTACTGTATAGGAGCCATACCACAATAAAGGTGTTTTAAAAAATTATTATTATTATTTTTAATGGAGGTACAGGGGATTGAGCCCAGGACCTCATGCATGCCAAGCATGCGCTCTACCATTTGAGCTATACCCTCCCCACTGCTTCGCCTTTTCTTATGATAGAGTGACTCTGCCTGCCAGAGAAGGATCACACAGCAGTGACAATGGCCTGTGACTCCTGACATCCCACTTAACTTTCATTCCCAGGCCCTCTGCGATTACTCGTGTGTCTCTCTCACGTAGGCCCCCAGGGTCTCAAATGTCTCTTCCATGAAAATGGGAATAAATCCTACTTGTTGAGGTCCATCAGAGATAGAACAAGACAATGTAGAGGGGAGGGCCTGGCAGAGTGTTCAGAATGGAAAGTACATGCCATACGTGTTAATGTCCCTTTCTGATTGTTGACATCAGTGTGATTATTTTACGTAGTGAAACCCTGTGCTACTTACGATTTGTTGTGCTTTCCTGGTTTTGGTTTTCTTCTTTAAAGTCCCAGGTTGGATATCCATAAATCTAAGTCTGTGGCTAAGAATTATGGGGCTCAGGAGAAGGGATCTTCCTTTCAGAGCCTCAGTTTCCTGATTTGTAAATGGTGGGGTTTGGCCACACGATGTCTCAGGTGGGTCCCAGATACTCACGGCCTGACTTCTCTGTGCTGAGCACCACTAGGCACCCAAGCTCCCAGTCCCGCGTCAGAGCTCTCTACTTCATCCAACCACCAAGTCCTTCCTGAAAGTTCTCTCCAGTCCTCTGGTTGCCATGTTTCCTCTGCCTCTTGGTCCTCCTCCTGCCTCCTCTGACCACTTCATCTCAGTCTGTCCCTCACAGGCACCTCCTCTGCCCACCACGGGAGTTTGTCACGGTGTCCTCAGGCTAAAAAAGCCTTCTCCATCCACCTGGAGCAACCTGCACTTACCATGTTATTTTAAAATCTGTGTGTGTGTGTTTCTCCCGACTACGCTCTAAAATCTTTGAGGGATCATGTCTCTCTTGTCCATCATTCATTTTTGAATAGCCAATGTCTGACGCAGGGGAAGAACTTAACTGTTTACTAAATCCAACAGAATGGTCTGCGGTTCTAGGACTTTAAAACTTCTCCAATACTCTACAATGTTGCTAATCAAGTGTGTCATGGATCAGTAGCCCTAACATCACCTGGAAGCTTGTTTTGAAACGCAGAATTCTACACTAATGAACTCATCTATAAAACAGAAACAGACTCCCGGACACAGTAAACAAACTTAAGGTTACCGGGGAGAAGGAGTTGGGAAGGGGTAAATTGGGAGTTTGAGATCTGCAATATTCACTACTATGTATAAAATAGATAAAGAACAGATTTCTTCTGCATAGCACAGGGAGCAATATTCAATATCTTGTAGTAACCTACAGTGAAAAAGAATATGAAAACGAAATATGTATGTATACGTAGGACTGAAACATTGTGCTGCTCACCAGAAATTGACACATTGTAACTGACTATATTTCATGAAAATAAAGAGACATAAACTACTATGTATAAAACAAGCAAGGGTACATTGTATAGCACAGGGAATTACAGCAATTATCATAACTCAATGGAGTATAATTTGTAAAATGCTAAATCATTATGCTGTACACCTGCAATTACTATAATATTGTAAATCAACTGTATGGCAATTTAAAAAAAGAAATGCAGGGTCCTAGGGCATCGTCCAGACCTACTGAACCAGAATTTGCATTTTAACAAGATTCCAAGCACAGGAAAGCTGAAACAAATTGCTCTGAGGTATGATTTTTGACTAATTAACTAATAACAAATCCAGACCTGCGACAGATTTTACTGGAACTCTTTTGTCAGAACAGGTGTTTCCTATCAGTAGCGTGAGCGTTGGTTCCTTCTGATCCTTTTTGATTATTGCTCTTGTGAAAGTTCTGGGTAAGCCAGAAGCAGGGAGTGGCCTTATTTGGAAGCAAAGGCAGCTATCTCTGGCAAGTGAATATAACCAGTCCTGTCAGTAATTTTAGACCTTCCAGGGGTAAGAGAAGAAATGCAAGAGGGAGATTACATGGCAATAAGAAACCTGGAAATAACAGTTAGGGTAGGAGGAGCAATGGAGTTCATTGTCTCAGATGTTCTTCAAGGTGCTTTCTAGTTCTCAGATGTTAGACTAATAAGGAGAGAAACAGGGCGGGGCAGTCACCACTGCAGACGCGCAACACAGCAGAGGCCATCCCGGGGGGAAGAAGCTGCACAAAGCAAAGCATGACATTCTGGAGGACTGGCCATAGCTCAGGCACCAGGGAAGCGGCTGGGGAAGCAGCTGGGGAAGCGGGATGGACGGGCAGTCGGGGAGAGAACAGGAGAGGTGCCCCACGCCCTGCCAAGAAGGGAGGACTCGGATTGATGCGACTGAACCATTTACCCTCCTCCGTCATTAGATGCTCTGTCAAACCATCTGCTTAGGGATGATCAGAGACAGGTTATCTGAACTCTCCACACTCTTTCCAACAATTCTTGTCCTTGTCAATATTCGTTCCCTCTGCCTGCAGGGCACATACTCCACTCCACAATGCTCCGGTTTGAAATCTACCTGCAGTGGAGGGTCCCATCAAACACAACCTGTTTCATAAGAAGCTCTTCTATTTCCTCCCTAATTGTACATGACTTCCTTTGACTCCTTATCATACTTTAATTTCCCTTTTATTATAATTGTCTGTCTACTACTAT